GTCTCCGTCTGTATATATAGGAATTTCTTTTTTCTAATTACTCAATTTTGAATCCAAAAAAGAAAAAAAGAAGAAAAAGGTCATTTATAGTGTCTGTAGAAACAATAAGAGTTGATTTACTTGAGATGGTATATTTTTTTGTTTTTGTAAAAAAAAAAAATTCTTCTTGTATTTCATGTTGGCATGCTTTGTTCAATTTTTTTTAGTTGGTTACAAGTCCTCAATTGCCTTGGTTCCATCCGAATAATTTAGTTGTTTAAACACCAAATGGAAGATATGGTTAATTATCATTATATTGATCAACTCTCTTTTACGTGGAGTAACTCTCGCGTAAGCAAATGAAGTTTCATTCTCTTATGAGAAATTATATAAAAAATATTTTCAATCCCTATCTTAACTGAATTTTCGTAGTGCTAAAACCTATTACTTTGGTTGGATTATTATTAATCAAAGAAATTAGATGTGAAAAGTTTTACTTGATTCAGCAACATTTTTATTTCTACCTCTATTGATTATGAATCCGCTGAAATATTTACTTTTGAATAGCTTTAAGCCTCTAATAACTCTCAAAGATTTAGTAAAAAACCTGTAGTTGATTACTCCATAACGATTTACTTGGTTCAATAGTGAGTTAATACTAAATAATAATATACTGCTACAAAGGACCTCATGTCTCAAAATATCGACTAGATTAAAAAGCCAAGTACGATGTCAACCAACAAAGCCCATAAAACCACTCAAAACATAAAGAGAGTATCCAAAAGTTTGAGGGCCGACGAAAAACAAACCGAGGCATCGACCCAGTGGAAGGGGCATTTTCAAAGTTCACTCACTAATACCATCCATCATCATAAGCATAAGCAGAGAAATTTAAAAAGTCACACTGTTTCTTAGTACTACCGTGGACTGGACTTGCTCTTTCAACAGAAGAACATGGTGCTTGCAACATCACCATTGAGCTTTGGCATTGGAGGCACAGGGACTGCTCCAGGTGTCGTGATCTCACCATGGCTCGATGACCTCTCAGAGTTGTCCTCGAACTTCATCACAGTTCCCATCTGTGCAGCTGCCAAATGAGCATAGCATATAGGTGCAACTGCAAAACAGAACAAAAAGAAACTTATGCAACGACCACATGACAAAGAAACTATCACCCAGAGCAATGAATTTAAGAAATGAGTATTACCGACTGAGATGGCAGTGGTGCTCCTCTGGTAGCTACAAGTATCAAATAAAAGATTATTATCTAAAGCATAGCAGACAGTGTAAAACCATCATGAAAGGTGATCAAGCGCTTACACATAGGATAGAGAATGCACAAGCTCTTGGAGGTCATCAGTTGAAAATCCAATCTCATCGTAGAGCACATGGTAATGCGTCGGGCGCGTAGTTCCCTAACACATCGATATCAACAGAGTAATGTTAAGTTTTCTTGTTCGATTCATAATCAAGTTCCAACTAGAGTAGGAAGACTTTTACAACAAAGAAAAAAGAGGAAACCAAGGAGCTATAACTTACAATCATTCCAGCGTGAGCACAGAGATAGAAGTCATTGTTGCGCGGGTGGCAGATCTTGCTGTCAATTATTGTTCCTACAGGCAAGCAACAGGTTTCAGGTCATTTCAACAACATCAAACAACAGAAACTCATGCTCRGGAAAAATRGATTTTACCTGGAGGAACATTATCAGGGCCTCCAGTCTGGAAGAACTTGGTGTGGTGGTTCTTCTGAGCAACGATCACTATAAACTTAGGGTCCCATTTCGAGTCAAGAAACTTGCATGCCTAAAATAATGTAACAAAATATCAGGTCAATAGGTGTCACACATACTAAASAAACCACCGAGAGCTTTAGAACAATAATCCATACCTCCTTCATCTGATCCAACTCAATATTGAGAACTTGATTGAACTGAGACTCACTCACACCATCCCTACATGCATATTAATAACAGTGAGATTCACTCAAACTATATAATACTACTTTTACATGGTACCTTAATAGATTCAAGTATTACCTGAAAACGATGATGTGATCTGGTTTTTTCTTCACTGAACTTGAGTAAAAGTCGACCAAAAGCTCCCTGTAAAAAGCACGAAATCTCTAATTACACTGATGCTAAATGATACCTTCTCATAGAAGTAGGAAATTCTTTTCTGCGATTCACAGGGCCCTAAAATAAGGGATTAAGATTAAAAATCTCTGTCATGTAGGGAAGTTTACCTGAACATTCCTTCATCTTTGTCAGAAGAGACGGGTTTGAAGAGATTATCAATCATTTCCACTTTGCGTGATTGTGTACGCACACACGCCCTATATTTTGAGATAAGTGGCCATGCCCTGGAGCTTACAACCTGTACCAGACACGAGAATTAGACTTGGCCTCTCAATAACGCACATCCCCACCCCCACCATAGTTGCTCATTTGTAGACATCATAAGATAAAGGTAAAAAACAAATCAATGTTACCGCAGCAATTGATGGTATATCAGAGTGGCCCGGGGAACCATGGGATACATCCATCCCAACAATGATSGAAGGAACTTGTGTTACTAAAGGCATTGCTGGTGAGCGCTCCATAGCTAGTAAAGAATTCAATCCACCAAGCTACAGATACACAATAAAATTCAGATCAGCTGTAACGTCTTTACAATTCAGTTTCAAAATTCTAATGAAGTTTTAATTTTCAGATATAACCTTGGCATTTATCTTCAGGAGAACATTGGTGAGATACTGATCATTAACCCTTGTGGGAGCGATACATTGAGTCACAATTCCAAGATCAGACAGATTCTTCTTTTTCCATGGGCCTGAAAATTTCAGAGACAATATATGAAATGTTACACCATTTGCATTTAAAAGACAAAAGCAGACCCAACTCAAGAATGTTATAAGAGTACTTACCATAAATATCAGAGTTTTTCCTCTCTGCGAGTATGCAAAGAAGGAATTTAGGCTTCCCCGGAAGTTTGGACTGTATCTGCTCAAACATCTTCTCTACTCTGATATTAGCAGGCGCACGCCTAAACTGAGGATTCTCATCGAAGATGTCACTGAATGGAGGCTCCACGTTCTGGGATTAAGTTAAAAGAAAACAAAGGGAAGAATTATTAGGAACTGTGTATATATCATTGTGTTTCTATACTTGTAAAGATTATGAAGAAAGCTTACAATTCCTTTCATCTGTCCACATCTTATCAAATCGCGGATAAGACCACGTGTATCACAGCGAGCAGAGAAGTTCACAACCGCCCATTTAGTAACTGTGGCTGGCTCAACAAGTTTCTGCAAAAGAATTTCAACTAGTATAAGAGGTGATTCAAAATCAACTAAACAATCTAGAGAAGAAGATAAAAAAAAAGTCTATTCACCTTATTATTGAAGTTCCAACGCCCATTTCGTGGGAAAAAGTCCTCTCCGTTTCCCACTTTCAGCTGTTTGGGAACAAATATAATTACATCATCAGCCTTTCAGAACCAAAAATGAAGATATACAGCACAAGAAGACAAGAAGATACACCTTTGGTGCTGGCAATATGCGGCCATCCACTTGGGTGAAGTTAGAGCCAATGCTAACACCACTTTCTTGCAAAGCCGGGTCAGCATTGTAATTGCTGTTCTTCAGACCCTGCAAAATGAATCAGACATAAGTACAAATAAACAGAAAAAGCAAGTGTCAAAGATAATGGAAAGAAGACCTACATTGGTCAGCGCAGCCATCCTCTCAAGTGGCTTCTGCCTAGACTTTTCTACTAGGGAAGCCCTCTGGAAATTGGTAAGAGATTTTGTATAGCGTTGTAGCGAAACAAGTTGACAGTGCTGCAAAGATTGAAACCAAGAATAATTATTGTTAAGCAGTTAGATAAAAGATGCTGGGGTAAAAGAAAACACACTGAAATTACCTCAACGGGGATGTAAGTAGGACGCTTCGGCTTACCAACATTGATACAAGGTAAGTCACCTGAATATTCCAGGTGAACTTCACGTTCACGGAAATAATCGAACACTGTGATTTCAACTTCCTCAATTTCCCCCTTTCCATTTGGCTTCCTCCAGGTAAACCTAAATCAAGCAAAGAGAGGTATCATAGAACGAACACAAAGCAATGTAAACATGTGATCAAAATAATACCAGACTGCAACATACATTTGATCTTTGCATCGATTTTCACTTAATCCACTTATCTTGTATTCTCGATTTGTGGTGGTGACCCTAACTCTCAGATTCTTGAGAGTGCGTTTAGCCTGATGAGAGAAAATTATAAAAGTAAATATCAAACATGCTAAAACATCAATGAAATTCTACAGCATAAAAGATAATGATTACCTTGTTCCAGTCCACAGAGAATGGATCTTTCACTCCTTGATTTGCGATAAGAAAATCAACAACAGGACCAGGTTGCACTATCATCGTAGTTGAAACATCTAAAGAAAAGCCAAAGCAAAAAATCAGTGTTAGTAATAGACAAAATCATGGATAGAAAAATATATTAAATATTAAATCTTAAAAAGATTTACCGATGTTCAAGGATAAGCCTCCCTGGGTAGTTCTGAAGCTTGAATGAAAGCCTCTGCAACCAATGACACCTCCACCGATAGTTACAAAGTTCTTCGGGTCATTGTGGAAAAAGGATTGGCGAACAAGAAGGCAACCTCTGCAAACAGAAATAAGAACATTTCATAAGAGATGAAGCAGAAAATGAAACTTTATGAAAGACAAAAATCCCAAAATCAACTTACTGCCTTGCTGCACTCTGACGCAAAATCACATCGAGCACTCTTATAGCGTCTTGATGGCTATCTGTTTCCTTTCCTTGGAGAGCACTCGCAATAGCCTGCATGGGGATCTTGGCAGCAAAGCTTATCTCCACCATGAACTTTTTCGATTGGTATGGACGTCTTGATCTTTTCCTGTCCGCATCATTTGTTTCATTCGGGCTATCTTTTCCAGTGTTATTTCTGCAAATAAAGAGAACAACAAAGCATCATAGAATTAGAAAAGTAATCGATAAATAAATTTAATAAAAAAATCCAAAAGCAATCAAATTTCGCACCTGCTAGAAGCCATTTCTTCAAGGACAACAGAGAAGTCAAGTTTGTTGCTGGGAAGAGCACCAACAGTGAAGAGAGTCTTCTCGCCATCATAAGCGAAGTATTTGAACCCCAAATCACTTTTATAGGTTTCCTGAACTTTGTCAAGAATCTGTCGCCCTATACCTTTAGCCTCCACTGGACGGCCATCTTCATATGCGATAGCAACCTGTATCCAAAGATCAAAGACAGAAAAAATTTCATACCAAGCAAGGACCTCAAAGCACTGAACATTTATCAAGCAACTACAAATGAAGTCAGATTGGAAAAGCAGAGACAACAATAAGACATTAAAAACTACAGAAGAGGAAGCATACACTTATCAAGCAAGTAATTCAAAAGCACTGAACATTTATCATTTGTGCTAAAGATAAATTGGAAAATAGTGATACAAATAGGACATTAGAAGAAAGAGGATGCATACACTGTAGTGGAAGAAGTAACCGTCTGCTTTGTTAAAGTTAACTCTGAAATGGTTGGTAAGCAGAGAAATCTTCTGTCCTTTGGTCCCACTGCCACGCCGAGCCATTGGGAGAAGAGTAGTCTTTTTTACAGGTTCAAATTGAGGACGGAAGTTTGATGGAACGACAGGTGGAGGAGGTGGTAACCCTGCCTCTTGCTTCAAGCCATTCCCATTTGGTTCATCAGAATCCATACCTGGAGAACAAAAACTCAGAAGGTCTGAACAAGACAGCACCAAAAATCATAAATGGTGTAAAGCATGAACTCTACAGATATCTGTAAGAAGCAAGCAGTTGTGTTCAACCCAGATTTGTCATAATATTCAGTGAGAAAACTTAAAAGATGCTCAAGAAGCAACTCTGACCAGAAGAAATATAAGCTGATAGAGCAAGAGACAATACGTCAAGCAAGATTCAAGTCTCAGTCATGACAAAAAACAAAGCAAGCTTCACACAGTTACTAAAAACCACAGCAGATGAAACATGCTCCAAGCAAAAAGAAAGCAGAAAATGGGCATCAAGTCATTGAGGAACAAAGCAGTGCTAGAGATGAGCACTACACATACAAAGAACAAACTCGTCAATGACCCCTATACTCATAACAAACAAGAATCATTCGAGTCATACTTAGCGGGTTAAGGAAAAGCAGAACTGATTAAACTCATATTAGAGGAACAAAGGATAAATTTTCAGCAGATAAAAGATTAGAACAACTCATACAAGCAGAATGATGATATATGCAAAAACATGGTGAACAAGGAAGATATGTACGTGCACATGAAGATATCTATGACCAAAAAAAAAAAAAAATGGCCACTCAAAAAAAGCGAGTGTGGTTAAGCCAGAGAGAAACCTTTCGAAAACGCTAATAAAAAAATCCAGCAAAAGACAAAGAACACACAAAAAAAAAAACCCAGATAATTTTTCTCGGAATATGCAAATAATTTTTTAATAAAATAGAAGACACACGCCAACATTTATTTTTCCAGATCTCTCGGAATCTATAGATTCAGAGAGGAAAAAAAACTACACAGTAGACGAAAAATCCTCAAGTACTCAAAAGAGAAGAAAAAATTGGGGAAAATAAGACGAAGAAGACGCTTTCACTGAAGAAAGAAATCGTCCCCAAAAAAAAAACAAAAAAACTACAAACCACACCAAATCCCTAGTTTCGAGTTTTGCAC